TATTCCAACTCCAAATTAGAATCTATGATGCTTCTTCTTCTCCTAATCAAGGTAAGGGCTTGATTTCTCCTTGTCCTATCTCTCTTGAGAATGAAATTTAACCTAGAATTTCCACTTATAATTGATATTTTCTAGAAAATATCAAGATTTACTGTTGTCTGTTCCTTGAGTGTCCAATGGGTGCTCCTTCTACAACTTTCTAGTAAGTAATCAACCATATTACTCATCTTTTACCTTTGAATTGAGTTGGGTTATCTTTAATCCTATTAGGGTTTTCAATTTGGGGTTTATTTCTATAGTTTTCCTCCTTGGTTTTGCCCTAGTGGCACCAGATCTGATCTGTTCTACTAGATTTGGACAACATGACCTATCTGTAATGTTTTGCCCATAATTCTATCTATAGTTATCGGATTAAGTTGATTTTTGATTCTATAGAAAGCTAAGAGGTAGCCTTGCAATTTTTATGTTGAATATTTAACCTAGTTAAGCTGTTTTCATGGTGAAAAAGCTCCTACAAATTTGATTCCCGCAGGAGGACTTAAGTGGCAGCCCAACCCTGTGCTAGTATTTTGGTCATAAATCTCTTTGTAGATGTCGAATTAAGGTAATTCTTACTGCTATAGAACACTAAGACATAGGGCTATAATTTATATATTTACCACTCAAACTAGATCAGTCAATTTCTAGGTGTGAATTCTGTTGAAAATTCCAGCACGAAATCTGACTAGAACTTACCAGAAATTTGCTCTGTTTCAGTTTCATTTCCACTCTATCTGCCACTACATTGCATCCTGAGGAGGAAGATGGAATGGCATAGAGAAAAATCATGGAAAAAAAAAAGGTCATCAAAGATCATGGGAGGTTATGCATTTATACATTTAAACATTAACTCTTTATTTTCTTCATTGGTTAAATGCTCATTTTGGTCCCTCAACTTTATTGGTTTGCACATTTTTGGTCCCTAAAGAATTTTTTACACATTTTTGATCCCTTAACTCTAAAAAATGCACAACGTTTGTCCTTCTGTCAATTTGGGCCGTTAACTCAGCCCATGTGGCATTTTTATATTTTTTTATGACATGGCGATAACAACTTAAAAAGGTGCTGATCTGGACTTTTTTTTATGACATGTCATCTTCCCGTGCCAAAGCCCCTCTAATGCCCCTCCAATGGATCCCACGTTGCTTGCAAACCATTAATAAAGAAAGGTCTGTGAACCCTAGAATGGTTTCTCAGCTTCACTCTCTACAAAATTGATCTAACTCATATGTTCTTATTCTCTGACTGTTCTCTCATCTCCACTCCATCTACAAAATCGATCTTAACCCATTTTTTCTTCTTCTCTGAATGCTTTCTCACCTCCACTCCATCTAAAAAACCGATCTTAACCCATTTCTTCTTCTTCTCTTTTCTTGGGAGAACTTGAGAAATTGACCAAATGTAGGGAATTCATGATGAGATTTGCTCGAGTTGGGTTGCCTCTACTGCTAGTGGGGTGTGTCCTTACAAAATAATATGTCTATGAACCTTAGAATGCTCCAAAGGAGAATTTGAGTTCTCTGTCATTGAACCTAGCTATTGGGTTTCATTGAAGCCTCAAACCTAGCAGATCTTATCAAATCAAATTAACCCTTCAATAAACAATATCAATCAAACTCCAATCAAATTCCAACAAAAATACAATCAAACTCTAATCAAATTCCAACAAAAATGCAATCAAATTGTAAATCAACTCCCAAATTTATTAAGAACTGGGAATGGAAATCGAAAGAAGAATGAAACAACATGAACCCAGCGTCGAAACCAGCAAGGCTGGTTTGAGCGACCATCAAGGCTGGGTTCATCGGAGCCCAGCCTTCGACAAAACCAGCAAGGCTAGTTCGCACGACCAACAAGGTTGGGTTCATTGAAACCCAGCCGATCTGGGTTTTGACGAACCCAGCAAGGTTGGGTTTCGATGAAAGCAACAAGGCTAGTTCGTGCGACCGGCAAGGTTGGGTTCATCGGAACCCAGTTGATCTGGGTTTCGACGAACCCAGCAAGGTTGGGTTTTGAAGAAACCAACAAGGCTAGGTTTCAATTGAACCCAATAGTTGGGTTCGATGGAACCTAGCAGATTTGGGTTTCGTCAAACTTAGCAAAGTTGGGTTCATCGGAACCCAACCTATTTCCACTGACCCAGGATATGAAAGAAAGAAAGAGAAAGAAAGAAGGGGAAGAAGAGGGATTGGGAGGGTGAGGGTAATAAGGTAATTTTATTTGTTTTTAATTAAAATATAAATATTAATCTACGTGGCATTTTTATTTATTTATATAACATAATTATAATATATATTATTGCCACATCATCAAAAAAATTAAAAGACAATGCCATATGAAATTATTTAATTGCCACATCACCCTTAACTGACGGAGGGACCAAAACTATGCAATTTTTAGAGTCAAGGGATTAAAAAAGTGCAAAAAATTCTTTAGGGACCAAAAATGTGCAAACCGATAAAGTTGAGGGACCAAAATGAGCATTTAACTTTCTTCATTTAAGCAATTTTAAATATTTAAACATTCGGTTTTTTATATTAAGATAATGTTGCCTCATCTATCATATTTATTTGTCAATTATTTTTATCATTTACAATTTTCAATTATTTGCCTATCTATCACTTTTATTGTCCTTTATAATTTTCATTTATTTTTGTCATTTATTTATAATTTATAATTTTCATACATTTTGCATATTTTGTTTCAATATTTTAAATTAATATAATATTATATTTTAAATAAATGCATACTCTATTTAATAAAATTGGGTATAGATTTTGTATATGTATATTTTGCATACCCTATAATATTCATCTAAATTGTCTTTCGTTGAGAAATTATTTGGCCATGGTCTTGCCTCTTCATCTACCAAAAGATTAATTTTTTCAATTACGTATATTATAAATTATTATGTTTTCAATATTAATAAATAATAATTATCATACTATAATATCCATCTAAATTATCTTCCGTTGAAAAATTAATTGGTCATGGTCTTGCCTCTTCATCTACCAAATGATTAATTTTTTTAGTTACTTATATTATATATATATGAATTAAATTATTATTATTATTATTTATATATATAAATGCATACCCTATTTCATGCATAGGGTAGCAATATATATATATGGAATAGATATAGATCAAAGATTGCATTAAATACTAAATAGTATTTCTCAATGCCCTTCTATCTTCTTATCCACCTATATATAACCCCTCACTTTTCTCTACACCAATATATTATATTCTCCTCTTCGTTTCTTCAATTTCTTTTTATTAATATAGTGAGTTCCAAATATTATTTTTCTTTTTCACTACTGGAAAACCAGGCAAAAATGACAACATATTCAACTACCAATTGGCTGTTGAATATAAACATATAGTCAAGAAAAACACTGTCAAATATGCTTGATTGTCAATTATAATAGATTTTTTTGTTCTTATTCGATAGAACACATATTCGATAGAAGAGTTGTCAAATATGTACCCATATTTGACTGAAATTCTTCTGTCGAATATGTATAATCGACAGCCTAATGGCTATCGATTATGTTTTGAGATATTCGACAGCATTGCTGCCGAATATGTAGAAAACGACGACATTTCCTCTGTATATTTACATGATGATTAACCCCCTCGACCTCCCTTTCTTTCCCCATTTCTTCTATTGTACCCATGATTTTGATGATTACAAAACACATTTGAGTGACTAATTGGTTCATTTAAGTGTGTAGTTAAAATGTCAAAAGATTGCAAAGTAAACTTGGACTGCACTAAAAATGGACCAAAAGGCTTGAAAATGTGTAGAGAGACGGCTGTAGAAGTGCAGAGAGTCGGGTCTCAAAGCTGCAGCCAACTCTACAGGTAAAAAGTTAAAAGCAAGTTGTTTGGTGCGCGCAGAGAAAAGATGCAAAACCGGCTCCAACATTGCAGCCAACTGTGAGGGTGCATTTAATGCATAACGGTCGAGTTATTTGAAGATTATTTAATGTGTTTAAAGTTGGAATCCCAAAGCCGGCTCTAGGCTTTGCAGCCGACTGTGGAAGAAAATAGAATGTGCAAGAAACCTACAAAGTTGGCTACAGAATTTTTAAGCTAGCTTTACGGAAAAAATAGAATGCAGGAATCCCGCAAAGCCGGCTGTAGAAATAGTAAGCCGACTATACAGAGTCGGCTCTAGGAAGTTAAGCCGACTCTCCTGACAATCCTACAACTCAAGTTTTGCGTCCTACAGAGCATTAAATGACCCCCAATGGCTAGTAACGGCTATTTTCGACCATGGGGTTATAAATATGGTTGGTAGAAGATCTGAAGGAGGTTTAGAGAGTATTGTATTGAATATCTTTACCTACCTACATGAGTTTTAACTTGAGTTTTTGGTCTTTGAGAGATCTTTACTTGTAATCCTCTTCTTGTTCTATTTGTGAGTGATCTTGGAGGTGTGATTAATCTTTCAAGAGTGATTTGTAGAGAAGATTCATGGGATTTAAGTGTAAAGGGGTGAGATTTGAGAGAAACACCCTTCTTCTTGTAAAAAGATTGAGTGGCTCCTTTAAGCCACCCTTGTTTTCTTAGTGGAGAGTGTGGAGGAAATCCTTGGTGAGTGAAGCCAAGGTAGAGGACTAGGTTCCAAGTGGTTGGACCGAACTTCTATAAAATCATTGAGCAAGCTCTTCTTCTTTACTCTATTTAATTTTGGTTTTGTGGTTGCAAAAGGAGAGAATTTTTGGAACTCCAATTCACCCCCCCCTCTTGGAGTACATTGAGTCAACAATTGGTATCAGAGCAAGGGCTCCAATTTGAAGGTTTAACCACCTAGCAGTTGATCAAGGATGGCTCAATTTCAAGCTTCTCAACCACTTCAAGGTTTGTCTACCACTAAGCCTCCTTTCTTTAATGGTACTAATTATAATTATTGGAAGAATAAGATGAAGGTCTTCATGCTTGTAAATGTGCCTAAGGCATGGATTGTGACTATGAAAGGTCCATATGTGCCTATGAAAGTAGTTGGGGAAAGTGAGGTGCCAAAGGAAGAAGTTGAATGGAATGATAAAGACTTGGTGAAGATCATGATCAACAACAAAGCAATCTACATGCTTCAGTGTGCTCTCAATCCAACGGAATTCCATAGAGTATCTGGATGTGATACGGCCAAAGAGATGTGGGACATGTTGGAGGTAACACATCAAGGAACAAGCCAAGTGAAGGAGTCAAAAATTAATAGACTCATTTACATGTGTGAGCTTTTCAAGATGAAACCGAAAGAGAGCATTCAAGATATGTATAAAAGATTGAATGATATAGTCACCAATCTCAAGGCTCTTGGTAAAGTCTATCATTCTCAAGAAGTGATGAGGAAGGTTCTTAAAAGCTTGCCCAAGAATTGGGAAGCTAAGAAGACCGCAATTGAAGAATCTAAGGATCTCAACACTCTCAAGCTTGAAGATCTCATTGGAAAATTGATGACATATGAAATAGAAGTTCAAGTTGATTATGGAGTTGAAGTAGTTGAGAAGAAGAAGCAGAATGTTGCTTTCAAGGCTAACAACCAAAAGGAAGAGAGTGAAGATGATGCTAGTAATGATGAGTCTAGCAATGAGGAGGACATCACCAAATTGATTTCAAAGGAAGTGAAGAGATTCATGAAGAAGAACATCAAGAGCAAGCTTGCAAAAAGAGATGAAGGAGAGTCTACCCAAAAGAGTGTGACATGCTATGAGTGCAACAATATGGGGCACTATAGAAATGAATGTCCCAAATTGAAGAAGGGTGAGAAGAAAGGCAAGAAGAGCATGAAAAAGAAAGCTTTTGCCGCCACTTGGAATGATGATGAGGCTAGCTCAACGGAAAGTGAAAGCTCCTTGGAGAATGGTGTTGCAAATCTTTGCTTCATGGCTCAAGAGAATAGCAACAATGATGAGGAGGTAAACTCTAACTCCTCTAGTTCAACTAATGAAAGTTCATTTGAGTATTATTATGATGATTTATGCAAAGTTCTTGATTGCTCTATGAATGATATCAAGAAACTAGGAAATGAGAATTTTGCTTTTACTAAAACCATTTCATTGCTTAAAAATGAGATTGTATCTCTCTCAAAACAAAATGAGGTTTTAGTTAAAGAAAATGCCTCTTTAAATGGTGAAATTGCATCTTTAAAGAATGAGGAGTCTAATAATGTTTTGAAAAAGGAAAATGAGGATGCAAAGATGGAAAATGAGGATTTAAAGAAGGAAAATGAGGTTTTAAAGAGAAAAGGTTGTGATCTTGAGAATGTGATTTCCAAATTTACCTTTAGTAAAGAAAAATTTGATTCTATCTTAAAATCTCAAAGTATTTATGACAAAGGGGGCATTGGATTTGATTATTCTAAAAGGCAAAAGACTTTTAAGAATTCTTTTGTAAGAGCAAGTCAATCCTCTCATCCTAATGTTACTTGCTATTGTTGTGGTGCAAATGGACACTTTGCTTATGTATGTCCTTTGAAGAGATTGATAGCTCAAGGTAAAGTGAAGCAAATTTGGGTTCCAAAAGGAACATTAAGCACTAACCCCCATGGACCCAAGCAAATTTGGGTACCAAAAATCAAAACCTAATTTTGTTTTATAGGTAAAGTTGATGGCAAAGTCATAAGAAGAGCAAAGTTGATCTTGATAAAGACTTATGCCTCAACAAGAATGTTGGAGTAAAAGTGCAAAGAAAATTTGTTTTTGAATGCTCCACTCATGTGCTCAATTGGTATTATTTATCTTATTGTATTTATTCATTGAGTATAATTACATTAACATGACTAGTAATTATTTGTTTATGTGTGCTCACCCTTTTATACATATGCTTGTTGAGTATGATTTCATTTGATGTGTCTTTTCTAGTATTGATACAACCTTGTTGATTGTTATAGATATTACTTGTATCATATTTACATACATATTTACATACTTGACATATGTGAATGATTAGATTGATTATCTATCGTATATAGTTCATAATGAGCTCTTGATGGTATAAGTGATTTTCAATATCATATGTGTCACTTTGAAGATGGTTGATGATTTGATTTAAATGAGTAATTTTAATAACTTGTCTTACTTTACATTGTTTGTCTCATTCAAATTTACTTGTCTCATTATTTTCATAATTTTAATGATAGCACTTGGAAGTTAAGCATGATCTTAGGAAGAGTCTTACACTTGGAAGTTAAGTATATTAGGAAATTTGTATGTTTGCTTTTTGATGGATGATTTTGATGATATTTGATTAGGTGCAAATGTATGTCATGCACTTGAATGTTTGCATAGTCATGATTGATTTCAATGAATAAATTTTTTATATTTGCTATCATATGATACGATGCATATAAAAAGGAGTAATAATGTTGAATCCATTCATGTGGTATTCAATGAGACTAACCCCATTTGCTCTAGAAAGAGTTATGAAATTGTGATGTAGATGTTATTGGGTAACAAAGATAAGAATGAACATTGAAGGCAATAGCATCAGACAACCTCCATGTGAAGCAAGTGAAAAGAACAAGATTGAGGAGATGCAACAAGCACAAAAACAAAGGTTATAATTCTACCCAAAAGAGAGATCTTATAAAGGTAATGTGATAAATGATAACATATCTCAAGGGTAAGAAATATACATGTTGCACTTAATGATGGCATTAACATTGTTTTTGGTGCTACTAATGAGATTGCTATTTAAGTATGTTTATGTTTTCATGAGTCATTTTATTAAGGGGGAGCTCTATTGTTTGCTCTTCATATGGTGTTTAAACTTTTTTGTTGGATACCAAAAAAGGAGAGAAAGAATTTTTTTACCTTCATAGTTGCTTGGAATGAGATTTCTTTGTTTACTACAAAGCCTCTTAATTGTGATAGATTTTTAATATTTGGCCATTTTCCTCTCTTCACATTCAAGATTTGATTCTCTCCCAAAATTTGCCCTCATTATCTATGCACATTTCTTAACTTATTATCATGAATTGTGGATTTTAATTGTACATGACTTTATGATTGCCTATGATTTTGATGATTATGATCTTAAGTGCTTTCATTGAGGGGGAGCAATTTGTGGATATTGTGCTTAAATCACATATTTTTTATGCTTTAAAGGTTGTATGCATGAATTAAGGGGGAGTTTGTTGATTATGCTTATAAGCTTCTTGATGGATGACAAAAAGGGGGAGAAAGTATGCTGAAAATTTTGTTTTCACATGAGCTTTCATTGAAATATATATGTGCTTTTATTAATTTATTTTCAAAGTGTTTTGTCATCATCAAAAAGGGGGAGATTGTTGTACCTATGATTTTAATGATTACAAAACACATTTGAGTGACTAATTGGTTCATTTAAGCGTGTAGTTAAAATGTCAAAAGATTGCAAAGTAAACTTGGACTGCACTAAAAATGGACCAAAAGGCTTGAAAATGTGCAGAGAGCCAGCTATTGAAACTTGTAGTCGGCTGTAGAACTGCAGAGAGCCGGCTCTGGAAGCTGCAGCTGGCTCTACAGGTAAAAAGTTAAAAGCAAGTTGTTTGGTACGTGCAGAGAAAAGACGCAAAGCCAGCTCCAACCTTGCAGCCAGCTGTGAGGGTGCATTTAATGCACAATGGTTGAATTATTTGAAGATTATTTAATGTGTTTAAAGTTGGAATCCTAAAGCCAGCTCTAGGCTTTGCAGCCGGCTATGGAAGAAAACAGAATGTGCAGGAAACCTGCAAAGTCGGCTGCAGAATTTTTAAGCCGGCTCAACGGAAAAAATAGAATGCAAGAATCCTGCAAAGCCGACTGCAGAAATAGTAAGCCGACTGTACAGAGCCGGCTCTCCTGACAATCCTACAACTCGAGCTTTGCATCCTACAGAGCATTAAATGACCCCCAACGGCTAGTAACGGCTATTTTTGACCATGGGGTTATAAATATGGTTGGTAGAAGATCTGAAGGAGGTTTAGAGAGCATTGTATTGAATATCTTTACCTACCTACATGAGCTTTAACTTGAGTTTTTGATCTTTGAGAGATCTTTACTTGTAATCCTCTTCTTGTTCTATTTGTGAGTGATCTTGGGGGTGTGATTAATCATTCAAGAGTGATTTGTAGAGAAGATTTGTGGGGTTTAAGTGTAAAGGGGTAAGATTTGAGAGAAACACCATTTTTCTTGTAAAAAGATTGAGTGGTTCCTTTAAGCCACCCTTGTTTTTTTAGTGAAGAGTGTGGAGGAAATCCTTGGTGAGTGAAGCCAAGGTAGAGGACTAGGTTCCAAGTGGTTGGACCGAACCTCTATTAAATCATTAAGCAAGCTCTTCTTCTCTATTCTCTTTAATTCTGGTTTTGTGGTTGCAAAACGAGAGAATTTTTGGAACTCCAATTCACCCCCTCTCTTGGAGTACATTGAATCAACATCTTCTTCTTCCTCTACGGTGATCTGGTTCATTTTCTCTAATGTTGTTCTTGTCATTGCTGCCAGTATTCTTGCTTCTTGCCACCGAGCCCCCTACTATTGGAATATCTCGCTGGTGACGTTGACGGTAAGTTGGCCCCTCTCCTACGCAGCGATTTGGGTTTTTTTATTTTATTTTCCTTGGATTTATAGTCAACATTTGCATATTTTCTTGTAGATCCATGCCTTTTGGTCCAAGATCCATCGCCTTTAAGCCACCACGCACCTCCATTATGCCTTTTGTAAGTTGCAACACTCTGTGTTTTTTTTTTTTTTCCTTATTTTTTCCTTGGATTTGAGTTTACAAAACCCCAATTTCGTTTTCTGTAGGTCAAAATCCAGCTTTTACTGCTTTCATTGCCTCCACAGCATTACCATCCCCATTGGCAAAGGTAATTGAGTTTTTTGTGGTTTTTTTATACAAAATTATATTGTCTTATTTGTAGATTAGTGTAGATTATTACTATTATTGCATGATTTGTCAGTAAATTGCTGTTATTTCTTTCAAGTTTTTGAGATTGAAATTTATATGTTAATTACTTGCCATGATAATTGTTGGACCTAAAAGTCCAGGAAAAAACATTGATGTCATGCTTAGGCCATTAATTGATGAACTTAAAGAATTGTGGACAAATGGGGTTGAAATTTATGATAGTTTTGGACAACAGAATTTTATCATGAAAGCTGCATTGCTATGGACTATAAGTGATTTTCTAGGTTATGGCATATTATCTGGATGGAGCACACATGGGAAGTTGTCATGCCCTTATTGCATGGAGAACACTAAGGCTTTTCAACTTCAATATGGGAGAAAAACATCTTTTTTTGATTGTCATTGTCAATTTCTATCTCCTAAACATCCGTTTCGTAGAGATAAGAAAAAATTTTATCTCAATAGAATTGAAAAAAGCCGTGCCCCCCTCCCCCCAAGACTAGATGGTACTTTGATGGAAGAAAGGGTTAATCAGCTCCCTAACATAGTCTTTGGCCAGCCACTTCGTAAACATTCAATTGCAGGATTTGGTGTTTTTCATAATTGGGTGAAACATAGTATATTTTGGGAATTGCCATACTGGAAGGATTTATTGATTCGTCATAACCTTGGTGTCAAGTATTGTGATAAAAAAATTTTAGATAACATTAAAAATACTGTCATGGATGACAAGGGTTGTACAAAGGATAACGCCAATGCTAGTGTAATATCCCAAATTTTCGGGAATATTTAAGTGTAAGTTAAGGACTTGATTGTGAGAAAAGATTGTTTTGGGGCTTAATGTGAATATTTCAAAAGTTCAGGGACTTAAAGAGGGAAAGATTTTGGATAAGGATGACTTCTTTTCTTTTTCTCTTTCTTTCTTTCTTTTCTTCTTCTTCCCCGCGTATTCTGCTCTGTCTTCCCGCTGCAGCCGCCCGAAAAAAAAAAAAGAAGAAACCCAGCCAGCCTTTGAGAAACTGATAAGGAGGCTTGATTTTATCCTTCTTTTCTTGTCTAAAAACCAGAATTGAACCCAGAAATCTCTCCCCCTTTGCTGGAAATTCCATATCTGCCTTGCTCTGCTTGTCTTCACCGCCGGCTGCTAGTGGGTATGGGTGATTTCTGGGCATTTTTCGGTAAGAACAGCCCCTAATTCCTTTGTTCTTGCTTGAATTGGCTTGGGTTAACTTTGATTGCTCTTATTTCCTTTAATTTTGGGTAAACCCGTGAGTTCCCTGCAAGATTTCTTCTTCCATGCCGCCGGCTCTTTCCCCCCTGCAGCTCCGGTTTTAGCTGGAGAATTATGGTATGTTGACAGCCTTTTAAGCTTAAAATTACCCATTTAGTTTGCTGCCTTGTTATGTCCGAATTTGACAGAAAAATGGGGGATAATTCCGGTAGCTTTAGGATGAAGTTTAAGCATTGATTTAAGTGGGATTTATGTGATTTAGTATTAATTGCTGCTTGTGATTTTTGGAGAGAAAATCCCGTAAGATTAGCTAGTGTTTTGGCCAATTTGTGGGAGTGGAGTTACTGTTCACGTCGGGGTCACTGTTTACCGGTTACTGTTCACACCCCGAGGGCCAACATTTAATGGGAATTTAAATGATTAGTTTGTGATATGAGAACGAATTTGGAGATATCTAATAATGTGGAGATTGATGGAAATAGCATTGTGATTAGGAATGATCCTAATGATGAGTTTAACTTGAATTTGTGATAGCCCGGTATTAATTCTGAGGTGTTTTGATTAGGTTCCCGATCGTTCTGTCAGTTAGTACGTGAATTGAGTGCTCGGTTTTATGCGAGTGAGGTAAGTAAATTATGGTAACGCCCTTTGATTTTAAAAGCATGTTTTGATTTGTTTTTGAAGTGGTGGCGGGACTAAACCCGTTTTACATGAGCATGACTGATTTGAAGTGAAATGTTTTATGCTTTTCATGAAATTGAGCATGCCTACTTGAAATTTGAGTGACTATCCTGATGATCTGAAAGTGATTGTGAAATGTGATTTCCCTGTTAACTTCTACCTGTTTTGTCTCCGATATGGTCGTGTAATCGTGAACCCGCTAGTGGGGGAGGTTACAAACGCTAGCACATGTCGACATGTTCCTGATAGAACCGGTTCATTCCCGTAATCCTGCTAGTGGGAGTTAAACACTAGCAATTCTTGTTTGCCTGCCAGTGGGAACTGGCCATGACTAATAGAGGAGACGTCTATTTCGTTCCCGTACTTGTATCCGTTTTCTGATTACACTTGTTGGCATGCTTTAAGTTGATAAAGGGCACTCCATATTTACTTACTGAGTTTATCTCATAGTTTTCCTTGTCCACCATTTCAGGAAGTGAAACCAAGGACGGGGAAACCACGGGAAGTGACGAGTTAGAAGGCTAGCCATATTGTAATTGGATATGAATTTTAGAAACAATTCATGATCTTGTAAGCTAGAGTGTATTTGGAGATTTATGATATCAGAGAGATTTTAAAGATTTGATCTTCAGATTTTGGTGGTATCAGATTGTAGTGTGATAAGTTCCGAGCCTTGTGCATTTGTGGGACCCGTCTCACGAGTGCACGGCGTCTGTTGCGCCTCGAATTTGGGTTTTGGGGCGTGACAGCTAGATTGGATTTACAACTGTATTGCAATAAATCTGAACTAGAATTGATACCTCAAGATGATGGAACAGCTATAAAACCCAATGCTACATATGTTCTTACTTGAGAGCAATGAGCTCTTATTTGTTAGTGGCTGAAGGAATTGAGATTTCCAGATGGGTGTGCATCCAACATAGCACAATGTGTTAACATGCAGGAACTTCAATTGTTTGGGATGAAAAGCCATGATTGTCAGGTATTCATGCAGCGTCTCTTACCAATTACTTTCCATAATTTCCTCATAGATGCATTTTGGGGTCCCTTAACTAAGATTAGTAACTTTTTTAGAGTTTTAACTGCTCCAATTATTCAAGTCAGTAACATGAAGATGTGGGAGGAAAAAATTGTTGAGACCATTTGCAAGCTAGAGAAAGTATTCCCACCAGCATTCTTTGACTCGATGGAGCATTTGGCTATCCATCTACCATATGAGGCAAAAGTTGGAGGACCTGTCCAATTTCATTGGATGTATCCTTTTGAAAGGTATATTTCTTCTAATATATCTTTGCATCACAATAACATTCATGAGCATATTTAATAATTTAATGTTATTAATTAATTTTCTTATTTGTTTAACAGAAAAATGCATGACCTTAAGAAAACAGTGTTGAACAAAAATTGTGTTAAAGCTTCGATTTGCGAGTCTACTATTCTTTCAAAAATTACCTTCTTTTGCTTGCATTATTTTGGATCTGACATAGAGACAAGGTTGAATCGTCAACCAAGAAACATTGTCAGCATGAATGATGATATGGATAATTGTTTGTCTATCTTTAAACATCGAGGTCAACCATTAGGTGGAGAAATGCGTATGCGTGCACTGTCACCCAAAGAATTAAAGGTAGCAGAACTTCACGTTTTGCTTAATTGTGAAGAAGTTAATCCATGGATTGCGTATGTTCTCTAGTTCTAACTTTCATTTGTTTAAGTTACTAGTATGTATAGATTGTTTACTCCAACTTCTTCATGTAGGCTTTTTGATTATCAAGTATGTTTCGGTCTATCAAATGATCAAATTCAAATCAAACAGCAACTTGAATTTATTCCTTGATTTAAGACAACAGTAAGTAATTTATTTTAATAATTTTTATTATTAAGATCTCAATTTTTATATATTTTAAGATTAAATATTAAATATTTTTATAACAAATCTAGGTGTGTAGTGGAAGATATGAGGTTGATTCTTGCCTTTTGCCTTTAGTAACTAACCCAGTCAATAGTGTTAGGGTATTCAATGGTTATTGGGTTAATGGATTCCGGTTTCCTACTATTGCATATGGACAAAATAAAAAGACCATGAATAGCGGTGTTTGTGTGAAGGGAACCACTTTCAATGACGAGTCAGATTATTATGGGAGTTTGAAGGAAATAATTGAGTTTCAGTATTTTGACTCATATGTTCGTCAATCAGTGATTTTGTTCAAGGGTGAGTGGTATGATATCAACAAAGGCATTGTGATCCATCCGACATTTGGTATAGTTGACATAAATCTTCGGTTTAAATTACAAACAGATGAACTATTCATATTGGCCAGTCAAGCTCAACAAGTGTTTTATGCCCATTACCCATCTCAAAATCCTTGTAGAAAAGGGTGGTTTGCTGCATGTAAGATTAGAGTAAGAGCAATAATTGACACTTCATCATTGAGTGATGGTGGAAATGTTTATTATCAAGACGATGATCCTCCTATGCCACAATTGATGCAACCCTCGACTATTTTAAATGATCATGTTTCACTAGCATCTCAAGGGGGAGAACAAGTGGTGATTAGTGAGGTCATGCAATTGCCATATGTTGCAGAGGAAGAATGTGTGGGCGAGGATGATGATGAAGAGGAAGAGTTTTATGGAACGAAAACATCAAAAGAAGAAGTTCCAAATTACTTAACCGAGAGTGATAGTGACTAAATGTATTATATTTGATTTTTTTAATTAATTGAATAAGAGATGAAGGACTACTTATATTTTCTTTATTATGTATTTCCATTAATGACTTTTATATTTATATTTATATTTATATTTATATGTTTGCTATAATTCTTTATATCGATATTTATAGTGAAGTTATATTTATATATTATTATATTTATATTGATATATATATCTATTTACTTATAAATATA